CCTGGCCGCAGCCGTAATCCCCAGCTATCCCTTTATCCCCCAGCAGCCGTCTGTCTGTCCTCAGCGGTTTCCACTCGCGAGGAGAGCCAGACGGCAGGGGGATCCCTGCGTCCCACATGCCTTTTTTCCAGGGGCCCTACCTCAAGCATGACGACGCAGATCTGTTTGACGCACTCGATGATGGACTGTGGGATCCCAGCGATGGTGATGGCTCGCTCAGTCGAGTTGGGCAGCATGTCTCCTGCCACCTGGACCTGTGCCCCCGTGCTCTGCAAAGTTTATGGTTAAAAATAAGCAGTGAGACCCCGGGGGGAGGGCTGTGACCTCAACAACAAACCCCGTGGCTGGGTTACACCAGCCAAAATTACCCCCCCGCCATCCTTTCCCCAAAAATAAAGTCCTTTAATCCTAGCTGAAAATAATTTGGACACCAGGAGCCTGGGGCAGGAGAGGACTGGGCTGCCGCCGTAACCCAAGTTGAGCCCGCTGCCGGAGCTGGACGGAGTTAATCCCCTGGCAGCCCGGGGTTGGCAGCATCCGGCACAAAGTGGCATGACCGAGGGTGGCACAGGACTGGCAGCATTTTCCCCCCTTCAACAACTGGGAAAAGGCCGGGGAGGGGGGGAAACAAGAGCCCAGAGAAGGGGGGAGCAGGAACCCAGGCATCCCGCTGCGGGGCACAGCGCCGGGAAGGGGAGGATCTTCCTTAAATTTCAGTTTCAGGAGCACTAAAAATGCCAGAAGCTCTAAAAAAAGCCGAGCGATGGCGCGTCTCTACGACGCGGTGTCATCCAGGGTGGGGGCTGGCACAAGGATTTGTCCCCTGGGGGCACCCAGACCCTGTGAATCATCCCCAAAACGCACCTCTCGTATCTCTTTGATCTTGCAGCCTCCTTTTCCAATGAGGGAGCCGCACTAGGGGGGGCCCGGGAGCCGGAGGGTGACCGGGGGCCGGCTGGCAGCGGTACTGTTGGTCATGGAGCTACTGATGTCCTGCGAGGAAGAAGAGTTACTCAGAGAGGTCAGCCCGGCGCTGTGCCCTCGCCGGAACAGCACACGGGGAGGTGACGTGACCGGCAGAGGGACAGGAACGATGACACTGGCACGGGCAGGCCAAGGTGACCCTGGGGCTCTCCCAGGACTTCATTAGTGGCCCAGGAACCAGAGTCACATTCTGGGGATGAAGGAAGAAGCCTAATTTTGTTGTTTCCAATTAAATGGGGGTTTAATCCCCTCCAGCTGCAGCCAAGTGGGATCCAGCCGTGCCAGCACTGGAGGGGGACGAGTTTTGGGGGGCTCAGCACA